TGTGTTGGCTCTGTGAAAACGTGGAAAAGAAGCAAAGGCCACACAGGTGCAAACTCGCAATAAAGATAGTAACAGATATGGCCCTTGTGTGATGGATATTTACATTATAATTAAATAAGAATCAACCATGTTATATTTTTTAAATCATCTCAACATTTTCGTAAGCATATATAATCGAAATAAAAACAAAATGAGTGTTGATGCTATCAATATAAAACAAAAACGAAATGTAATTAAAGATTGCATGAGATAATAAAAGACTAAGAAAATTTGTTACAGAAATTGTGATTTAAAAACACTAACAAGACTACAAGAGCAATCCCCTAAAAGAAAGAACCTGTTTGATTTTCTGTGCATAAATGTTCCCACCAGAACCTTTAATTCTATTATATATGTTGCCCCTCTTCGACTTTTGGTTAAGACTTAAAATTCATCAGAGAAGTGACCGATGATTTGTCTTTTGTTTTCTTTAGGTTGGATTTTTTTGATGTTCCCTTCTTCACTACTCTTTGTGTCACCTCCAGTCCTCTACTTTTTTGCAAAACCCTGAATAAAAAAGTGAAAAAGCAACAGTTCAGTTATCAGTAAATATTGTATTTCCTGACTCAGGCAATGTCACAAATAATGGAGGATGAAACTCTCCAGTGTACAAGGTCTGTTTGAACTGTTAACTTGAAACTCTCATTTTGTGATTTCGTTTCTTAAATCGGTCCAACAACATGCATGTTTGCACAACCTTCACTTAAAAACATGTTTTGTGTTGAATATTTTATTAATTTTTCCTACCACCCTAAGCACACAGTCAAGCCACCATGACCAATATTGACTATCACTATAGTGACGGTACCGCTGCCGGACCACCGCCAGCCAATGACCGGCCATCTAAAAAACCGGCAACTTGCAAAATTTTGGCTAGCTAGTGATAAATGTGATCCGCCGGCGGCTCCACAACAGTTGGATGATGTTAATAGTGGTCAAACGGTGATCAATAAAAATAATATTTTTCTAAACCCGTTTTTGAAATCTATTTCAAAATGTATCTAAAACGTAACACACTAATACAGAAAATTAGTTTTTTTCAAAAAAAAAAGTACGCAAAATTACAAACCACAAATTAACCAAATCAACGATCTAAACATATCATAATTTTTCGACATTGAATTTAATTTACATCTGTATAGATGGGTTAAAATATAGTTTTACGACAACTCAAGGTTATATTCGATATAGGTTTAAAACTCGGAGGTAAAACGTAGTCTAATAAGAAATTTTGATGACAGAATGAAAGAAAATGAAAAATAAATTCTAAAATTTATTTGGTAAGAAAGATAAATTAAATTAAGTGATTTGGTAAGATGACATGTACATATTTTGAATATATGGAGTCTTTGTTGTCAAGTGTCATATCGCAAAATGAGATTAAATCTCTAATTTGGTTTTTGTTTCTTTTCTAATATTCATTTTTACATTTTTATACTACCTGCATTTTTCTAATTTTTCCTGGAAAACAATACGCCCTAAAAAACGTTATAAAGAGAGTCAAAAGTTGCACCCCTCTCTTCATTATTCTTGTTTTCATATAGGTGGAGGCAAGGGGATTTTTTTTATTACATAAAAAAAAAAAACCAAAGGAAAACAATTTGCAGAAAATCTTTTGTTATGCCTTCCCAAAATAATTGACAATACTTTGCTAGTGTGTATAATATTTGGAATATATAACAAATAATTACCATATGAGTAGAAATGTTTGAAAAATAGTAGTTTGAGATTAGCTTTATTTTTTGTTCTTTATCCCTCAAATTCGATTGGTTTTTACATTTTTTCTGCCACATTTGAAAGGTTTCAATTGTATCCTAACTCGTCATTATTGGCCTCTTTAACCGTTTGGGACATTGTTTACAGTATTTGTTCGATGCTTTGAGTGTGTAAACAAGGCAAATTAATCAATCATTTGATTTTCAATATGATCCACGAATTTTATTTCTAGTGAACAGAAACTTTTGAAGTGTTTCTTCCCTTAAAATTATGCAGTAAATAGAGGTTTTTGCCTGTAATAAATAACTAAATATGAACTGATCCGAATATATATTACAATTTCATTGAAAAATAAATTAAATAAAATAGAATGCTGAAGAGACCAACATTTTGTGGTTGTGGAAGTTAATAATAAAAGCATGAATAATTTTTCCGTCCTCCTTCTCCCCTTTAAAGATTTCGTTTTGAAGCTTCACTGTCTTCCAGAATTAGAATATACCATTTGTTTTTGCAAGCTCTGGATTTCGGGCCGCTACATAAATTATTTGGAGAATCATGCATCCATCAAAAGTATCAGCTACGGGGAAAATTAAGTCAGCCAAAAGATTTTCTTTTATAAATTGTTCTTTTTTAAATCGTTTAATTTTGACATAATCCAAAAAGAGATTTTATGGGAGGAATTTCGAAAAGTTGTGACCTTTTGCGGTGGTTTTCTACACAGAAAATGTAAATCGTAATACTATACACGTCTAATGTGCGTCACAATATCCATTATAAAATAGACTATATCAGTACGTGAAAGATATGATGCCTTGCGAAAAGTTTATTCTTCTAATTTTAATGACTTCTAAACCCATAAGCTATTCGAATTTCTTGACTACTCAGTGTGTGTATTTTTATAATAAATTATCCACTGTATTTTTGAATGCGCTAGACGGCTGGACTAATGATTCATTCTTAATCAAAGCAATTTAACACATCTATAGTACTTAATTAAAGCAGCAAACAAAAAGAACATGTGTTAGCACCATAATGAAAATTTTCTCACCAAAAGTCATTTTCAGTACAAAATCATTTTTAACACGTGGCACTCTAACTAATCAGAAAAAAAAGGATGGAATAAATAAATACATAAATTCCTTAAAGCTACATAAATAAAAATCTCTTAATTTTATGTATATACTAATCCCTTAAACAATAATATACAATATTTAGTTGATAAAATCAAATGTAAGGAAATTCCCTTAAATCAAGTGAAACACCAGTAATCTCTCTCCAATCCCCAATTTTGAAGTATCTCTTCCATCCCGCTCCCCTCTCACATTCGGGCCTCAATTACTTAAAATCTGACATCAATTATCAATCCATCTCTTTCTACAACAGAGAAAAAATAAGATATTATGAAAAAAATTTGATTTTTTAAGGATGATTTGTTTTTTTAATTCTTCTGTTGTAGATATTGGTTTATGATTTATGTAAATCTGGGCATAAGTTAACTGTTGTAAATTAAATGTTCTAAATCTGGGCATAGATTTATGTACAGTAACTTAATTCCTGTCATTTCAATCGATTTTTTTTTTTATTCTTTTAAGGATGATTCGTATTTTTTATTTAATCGATTTAAAAATACAGGCGGCACTTCGGGCATTTGTCCGGGGTAAGCATCTAGTTACATTTATATAAACACAGTGAAAATTGACATTGACAAAATTCCATACGGTTGAACCTCACCTTAAAGATAAAAGACAAATTTTTCTTACCAGATAAAAGACAATTTCAATGAAACTTTATTAGTTGTTCTAATGTTGATTATAAAAGAAACCCCCTTTTTACCATCAAAATAATGGTCATAATTGAGGAAACAATATTTAATTAATCTAGAGGAGAATACGTTGGTAAAGACAATGTAAATGGGAACGAATTCAATTTGAAAGCTTCCTATCATTGACTTGGAGGGTTGACCGGCGTCGATGGAGTAGAGATTACTTTTATTTTTTGATAATGAGGTGACTGACATGACTTGAAATTCAACCGGCAATAAAGATTAAAGAGGATCATGCTAACTCCTTACTTCCACAAGCAACCTCACTCGGAAGAAAGAATTCCAGAACAAGGACAATATAATTTTATGCAGACATAATACGATTCTCGTTGATTGTCATTAGTTTATCTTGAGTATCGATACATTCACAAACTCTTTTTGTGGAAAAACTTTTATGGAAAATAATGTACTATAAGTTTAATAATACTCTCTCCTTTCCAAAATAATTGTTCAGATTGAATTTCATTTATAATATAAATTATACTAAAAGTGAAATACCAAACGTAAATAATTATTTTAAGACCAAGTGAGTACATGTAATCTTATTAAGAAAAAATATAGATATGAACAATCGAAATTTAGTTCATATCAGGGCAGAGATTAGGAATGAAAAAGAAAAACACCCTTTAAGGGAAGTGTCTCTAATTTACATGCACACAACCTCCTCACTAAGCTCTTGTGGTGTCATCGATCATCAAAAGAACCATCTCATCTAATTAGTCAAATTCATTCACTGCAACATAGTATCTTCCTCATGTGATAGCAAATTTCTACGTTCACACATGTCACCTTCTCAATTTATCTTTCTACATTCCTTCTCTTTTTAGATTATTTAATTATCCTGTTTGTTCAACAAAAAAAAAAAAAAAAAGAAGCAAATTACTTCAACTCATGCAGAAGTATAAAATGATATGAGTTCTCATGATAGTCATGTTATCAAATTTGATTATGAATTCCAAGCATAGGGAGTATATTATTGAAAGGTAAAACGATGGGGCTAAAATCAATAAAATATGACCCTAAATCCATCTGATCTCTGAATGGGTCATATTCATTCGTCGAATAGATTTCAACTGATAGAAACTAGAAATCAAAGTCTCGCGGTTTCATTCATTCAAGATTTCTGAATTCCACAGGAAGGCTTTAAACATCCAGTCGTCGCCCGGAGTGATCAATTTCACGCTGTTTGGTCAATACCTTCAGGAATCAGGAGTCGCTTCTATTTATGTCGCTAGAATTAGTACTGCCCACAAGCTAAACCATATCAAAAAATGGTATTTGTGTTCTAAATATTACAACTAAATTTTATAATTCAGTGGACAGCAGCTATGAAAAGTTCGCATTGTGCTATTCTGCTCTTTTTCTGTCTTCTTTCTTGGAGCCCCAATTTGCGTGTATCGATGGCGAAAGACGAGCTCTGTAGGAATTCAAAGAAAGTTTGATCGATCATGCGAATCGCTTGTCGTCGTGGATTGGACAGAATTGTTGTAATTGGAATGGAATTACTTGCGACAATCTCACTGGTCATGTCGAGAAGATTGATCTCCGTAATCCCATCCAACCTAAGGAGTACAGCTATAGCTATAGCCGCTATAGTTATTATTATTCTACCATTTTCGACGATTACAGAAACAATTGCTTGGGTGGTAATATCAGTTCTTCTTTACTCAACCTGAATCATTTGATTTATCTTGATCTCAGCTCTAACAATTTTTCAGGAATTCCAATCCCGGAAGTTTTGGGATCATTGAGAAATTTGAGGTACCTCAGCATATCTAATGCGGGATTTGATGGAGATATTCCTCTCCATCTTGGAAATCTAATCTAACCTACAACATCTGGATATTGGTCAAGCAACTCTTCCATGGACTCCTAACTACTTGAGTGTCGGAAATCTTGAATGGGTTGCTGGATTTTCTTTCTTGAAAAGTTTAGATCTTTCTGGGATTGACTTGAGTGAATGTCCTGATTGGTTGGGTTCAATTAACAGGCTTCCTTCTTTGGCATCCTTGAATTTAGGGATTGTAACTTTGTTTCTCCTCTTCTCCTTCCTTGTCATTTCAATCTCTCATCTCTTGTGTCTCTTGATATTGGGTACAATTACAATCTGGAACTTACCTCAGTGCTCCCCTGGTTGTTAAATTTTACTAATGAGTTCGAAATTCTTAAGCTCAATTAATGGGTTTCATTTGGATGGACCAATTCCTTTCATGGTGGAGAAACTCACCTCTTTAACGGTCCTTGACCTTTCCAACAATGACACTAATTCTTCCTCCTTGTTAGATTCATTGTGCAATCATACTAGTCTCGTTTCTCTGTACTTCAATTTCAACCAACTCCAAGGGTCAGTTCCCCGTTGTCTTAGCAACCTGACCTCCCTCTCTTAGGGTAACTTGGTCTAGGATCCAACCAATTTGGAGGAAAGATACCAAGTGATCAGTTTGGTTACCTAAGAAATCTGAATTATCTCGATCTGTCAAACAATTTTTTCAACTCTTCGATTCCATCAAGTTTAGGGAAACTTACAGAGCTCGAATGTTTACTTCTTTCTTACAATCAGTTGTCTGGTTTAGTGCCTGTGGCTCTTGGACCTATGTTACCTGGACTCGGATATGGGTGTCATATCGGATGCAGGGATCTGAGTGTCCGACTAGTCAATATTTTAGAAATCTTGGACATTTTAAGCTAAAATGCCACACCCGACACTGATATTCACACCAGTGTCGACACGACACGACACGGGTATTCTCCCCAAATAGAAGAGTCCGAATAACATAGTCTTGGACAACTCAGCAAACTAGAAACTTTAGCATTTTCTTCCAATTTATTGTCTGGTGAGTTGTCTGAATCTCTGTTCATTAAACTCAAACGTTTGAAAGATTTAAGTTTGTCGTATAACCTGTTTCTTACCCTCAATGTGAGCAACCAATGATCCCTCCGTTTCAACTCGATAACATATGGATGCATTCTATAAAAATAGTATCTTGATTTCCTCTATGGCTTCGAACCCAAAAAAGTCTTACATTGTATCTCTGGATTTCCTCTATGAAAAATGCAAGTATTTCGGGAGCTATCCCTGAGTGGTTTTGGACAGTTTGTTCCAGAGTCTGGGAGTTGGATATGTCAAACAATGATTTGTACGGTGTGTTGCCATTATCCATGTGATGGACCGATTTTTTAAAAATCTGGTCCACATGAGAATGGGCTGATCACAACACGCACTTTAATGGAGGAAAAATCAGTTTGAAGCCCGCTTTGATTAAAATTCGTGGATGTAACAGAGAGCGAAGAAACCGAATCCGAAAAGGAGTCAATGACGCGACAGTCCATATCGAAGAAGGATTCCAGCTACAACAGGAATCCTTGCGGAATTCGATTTCTGTTGCAATCTAGTTAGGGTTGGCGGAATCTGTATAAAAGCTATGAAAGAGGTACCAAGAAGGGGAACTCATGATCCAAGAATCAGAAATCATATTTTCCTTTATAACTTTGTTCTTTGCAATTTTAAGCTTTCATGTATTCGTTTATGTTTCAGCTTTAAACGTTATAATCACTTCGACGATTCAGGCTATTCAAAGCCGATTCGCATTCATTCAATCAATAAAACAGGCTCTGGCAAGCCGTTTTATCCATTTCTAGAATTTCTCATTATTCAGTTGAGCGCTAATTCAAAGGCATTATTCTGTTTAAGACAATTTCAGCGTTTAGTTTACGCACTTTGAGAAAATCACGCGGTCGCTTGAAATTAGTTTGAGCCAAATCGGTTTCCACTGTAAAATACAATTTTGACTCAAACACCGTGAAGGAACTAAAATCATTGGTAATATTAGATCTCAGTGCAAATCGATTTAGTGGAAACATTCCAGAATGGATTGGCCAGTGCTCACAGCTGGAGTATGTTAACCTTCAATTGAACAACTTCTATGGCATATTACCTCCATCACTGAAGAAGTTAGAGAATTTGAATGAACTTGATCTCAGCGAGAATCAACTTACGGGTACCATACCAGAATGGATTGGTGAAGAGTTTTTTTCTAGTTTACACACTCTTAAACTTCAATCTAACAAGTTTTATGGTAATATTCCCAAGCAGCTTTGTGGAATACCATTCCTTGAGATTCCAAGATTGGCCAACAATAGTTTAAGTGGACAAGTTCCAGATTGTTTTTAGTCGTTACTCGTTTTAGTGTGTAATGGAGACTCCAAATCACCATCACTTTGGGTACTACGTTGTAGTCTTGTACTAAGTTACAGGTATAACGTTTCGGAAGTTTGGAATTATAGTATTTGCAAATGATTATCTCCAAAATCGACGTTGAAAATTAGAAGGGATATCTTTTAAACATAGTATTTAATTTATGACCCCTGTTCAAGAACACAAGAACGTCCTGATTCCCAATTTCTATACAGAAGAAATATCAATACAAATGGCATCAAAGAAAAATCTAGGATTTTTTATTTTTTGTTTTCATGTTTTCGGCTTTTTTACATTTGTGTTTTTTAGGTAGCTAGTGAAGATGGGTGAAATGAACTAAATTTATTGGCGTTAATTATCATTGGATATGTTGAAGCAAAATGGCTTAAACTGTACTCTTACATTGATTCAATTTTTTTTTTGTGAAAAAAAGTTACCACTGGATATAAGAAAAAACACCCTTGTATTTAATCAATGGCTAACTATTAAGTTTCAGGAATCATAAGGGAGAAAATTAGGAAGGGAAAAAATTTACCTCAGGGGAGCAAGGTCATCTAGTTACCAAACAAACTTGCTACCAAAAAGCTACGAAATTGACATAAATTTATCAAATTTTGATTTTAGAAGTAGCAAAAAGGACCCATCTCCATTACTCATATTCATTCATCGAATGTTTAAGTCATATTGTGATTACTACATTCACACGTAAAAGTCTCCGAATTTATTTCACGATCACGACTTGTGTCTTCCACAAAAGACTTTGAATAGTCTCCTCTGTATGATCCTGCATGCAATTATTAGTCACTTAGCTGGAAGAAAGGAATCGGTTGTATACAAATGTGGTGCCTAACTTCTAAATCATCCAAAAAATGGTCGTGTTTGTTTACTAGTAGCAAAAACAAACAGCCATGGAAAGTTTCCATAATGCAATTCTGCTCTGTTTTTTCCTTCTTTTCATCTTAAAGCCTCAATTTGGCTATAGCTGTCTGGAAAGCGAAAGACGGGCTCTCTTGGAATTCAAGAAAAGCTTGATCAACGATGCAAATCGGTTTTCGTCATGGACCGGAGATGATTGTTGCAGTTGGCATGGAATTGAATGCAATGATCTGACGGGTCATGTGGTAAAACTTGATCTCTGTAAACCAAAGGTTGAATGGATCTCATATAATATGAGTGGTTACTTGCAGAACAGATGCTTGGGAGGTGAGATTAATCCTTCTTTTCGGGATTTAGAGCACTTGATTCATCTGGATCTCAGCTACGTTTACTTTTTAGGCATTCCATTCCCAAACTCTTTTGGGTCCCTAAAAAATTTGAGATACCTTAACCTCTCTGGTGCAGGGTTCTGTGGGGAGATCCCTTTTAATCTTGGCAATCTATCTAATTTGCAACATCTTGATCTTGGTTATCCAAGTGTTGGATGGTCTGATATGTGTTTGAGTGCCAAAAATCTCAATTGGGCTGCTAGACTTACTTCCTTGAAAGATTTGAATCTTTGTGGAATTGATTTGAGTGAATGTGTTGATTGGTTTGGTTCAGTTAACATGCTTCCTTCTTTGTCATCTTTGAATTTGAGAAAATGTGACTTGCCATCTGATCCTCTTGTTCTTCCTTCCCACTTTAATCTCACATCTATTGTTTCACTTGATATTGGGTACAATTACAATTTCAATCTGGAACTTACCTCAGTGCTCCCCTGGTTGTTCAATTTTACCAATGATTTTGAAGTTCTTAAGCTGGATGGATTAGATTTAAAAGGGCCAATTCCTTTCATGGTAGAGAAATTCATATCTTTAAGCGACCTTGACATTTCATACAACAACTTTTATTCTTCATCCTTGTTAGATTCATTGTGTAATCATACTAGTCTTGTTTCAGTGAACCTATTTGTCAATCTAATCGAAGGCTCACTTCCTCTTTGTCTTGGGAACCTGACTTCACTCAGGGTACTTAATTTAGGATCCAACCAATTTGGTGGAAAGTTGCCCAGTTGGTTGGGTCAGCTTGGAAATTTAACTTATCTTGATTTGTCTGGAAATGATTTCCGCTCTTTTGTTCCCTCAAGTTTTGGGAAACTTAGGGAGCTTGAATATTTACATCTTGATGGCAACCAATTGTATGGCTTAGTTCCTGAGGCTCTTGGGCAGCTAAACAAACTGGAAGAACTAGATATTTCTTTCAATTTGTTGTCAGCTGAATTGTCTGAATTCCACTTTGTTGAACTCAAACGTTTGAAACATTTGGATTTGTCGTATAACCCGTCTCTGACCCTCAATGTGAGCAGTCAGTGGATCCCTCCATTTCGACTTGAGTACATTGGGATGCATTCTGTAAGAGTTGGGTCTCAAATTCCTCAATGGCTTCGAACCCAAAACAGTGTTACCTCTTTACTCATGTCAAATGCTAGTATTTCGGGTTCCATCCCTGAGTGGTTTGTGACAGCTTGTTCCAGTGTCCAAGAGTTGGATCTATCAAAGAATGATATCTCTGGTGTCTTGCCATCATCCTTGAAGAATATGAACTCTTTGTCTAACCTGAATCTCAGTTCAAACCGATTAACTGGCAATCTTCCGGAATGGATTGGAGGGATCACACAATTGCAGGCTCTTAGCCTTCAATCCAATAATTTCTATGGCGAGCTACCTCCATCATTGACCAAGTTGAAATATTTGTCTGATCTTGATCTCAGTGAAAATCAGTTTACTGGCACCATACCGGAATGGATTGGTGAACAATTAACGGAATTATACACGCTTAAACTTCACTCCAACAATTTCTATGGTAATATTCCCATGCAACTTTGTCAGTTGCCAAACCTTCAAACTCTAAGATTGGCCAATAACAATTTAACTGGACTCATTCCTGATTGTTTTTAGTTGTTAGTGTGTGATGGAGACTCCAAACCATCAATCCTTGTACCAAAGTTTTGTGATGCTTCAAGAAGGAAATGTGTTGTTTAGAAGTTTGGAATCACAGTAAGCGCCAATGCATTTCAGCTGCATTTTAAAAAAAAGGATTCAGACTTTCAGGAAACTGCATTCCACCACCAGCTTTGCCGATCACTCAAGAAGGCCATTATTGCCGTGCTGGTGGCCGCAACTTCTGCATTATTCTGATGTTTGCCTAATCTGACAACAGCTGATGAATGAAGAGACATTTCCTTCTATATTGAGACGAATTTAGTTGCATTTTCTGTGGCAAACTTGCCGGGGTTTGTTGTTGGATGATGATATAGTCATATAGAGTATTGTGATCCAGTCCGTCAGATCATGTTGTCGATTTACATGTTTGTTTATATTCCCATGACAACATATATATGTTATATCTTCAAAACAGAACTCCAATGCCGCCATTCTTCCTTTTCTACATCAAGTAGTTGACATCAGCAGCCTAGCTCGGCATAATTATCTGTCATGCCGCCATGTTCTTTCCACAATTTCAACTCCCTTTTTTTAAGGTCTTCAAACATTCTTTCGAGATCATATCGATCACTTATGTTTAATCATTTTGATGTCTATTTATAAGGTTTGATGTCTTAAGTCAAGACTTTCAGTAAGCAGTAGATGACATGATTAGAAGCGGTAAGAAAACTAGCAAGCGATAACAAAGTAGCCGCTTTCCTCTGGTACACTCTTCTAATAGTTGCAATGTACCTTAGAGGAAGTAGCGGTACATTTACGCACTAACCCAACAAAGATCCTCATTCTGCCTAAAACATGAGAACTCAAGGAGAAGGTGACTTAGATGATTCATATCATTCGTAATATTCTTTACAGAAAAACTTGTATTTCTAAACCCTAAATCTCTGCCCCTCCTAAATTCATATCATTCATAGTTTAAGGGATACTTAAAAGCTAATTTGGGATAATCTTTCCGTGAACCAGCTGAATAATGGATCTCGTGTCATCATGCTGATCCTCACATACTCTGGACCAACACCGAAATGCACACCCCCTCTGGTTAAAATTTTATGGCTGCGTAGAAAGCTCTCGCAATCATCAATCTCGGCTTCACATTTCAACCATGCAAAAGCTACGAGCAATGAAAATTTTGTAAGTACAGCAGAAGAAATAGATGAATCCAACATTAGCTGAAATTATTCCTTCCATGTTATACCTGGTTGTGGTTGGAATGTATGACCGCTGAAGCTGCATGTCCCCGATGGAAAGCTGGGCAAACTGAAAAGAGTAGTTCTGTTCACAGCAGCTCTAAGTTGTGTCCACCTCTTAGCCATGACATCATAAGCAAATTCGAAGAAATTATCGCCTCCTTGATCAGATTCAGGTTTATTGTCAATGCTTTCAGATACGTGACTCAAAATCTTTGCTGCTCGAATCTGTGAATCCTTAGACACACCAATGGTGTTCAACTCGATAAACTTTGTCATCTTCCGAGCAATTTCTTCATCTTTAATCAGAGCCCACCTGAAGTATTTATGAAAAAAAATTTCACAACATAAGCCTACATAATAGAGGGTGGCGCAAGGCAGCAGAGTAGAGAAAAGTTTACATGAAAATAAATTTACCCAAGTCGTGTCCCGGCATGACCTGTGCTTTTAGATACTGTAAAGAGCATTATGTCATGGTCTGCAGGGGAAGAAATTGGAGTGTATTGTGGCCAGAGGTAAGCCAAGTCATGAACCAATATTCCTCTTCTGCCATTCACCACGGCTTCTCTAGATGATCCATCTGGGTTGTTGGGAGATGTCACAAGCTCGATATATGGTTTATCTGCGTTAAACTCGTGAGCATCACCACCCCATTTGTAGAGTCCAGACTTCAAAAAATCGGTCATCAACGGGTATGACTGCAAATCAAAGTTCAATGAGAATAACAGGAGTTAAACGTGTACACAAAGTAAACCTTAGAGATATACTTTCTTGGGGCAGGGTATGATGGGTCCTTACGTAAGCCATAATGCTTTCTGCCAATATAAAGTTGTGCCATGCCAAACATATATTCCCTCGTTTAGTACAACAAACAGGAATTTTCTTTAGGGATGTAAGGTGTATTTGGAGGATTAGAGTAAGATCATACTTGGAAGATGTTAAGCACTAAAACCCAAAGCAGCCAATAACAGGAACAGGAAGGAAATCAGAAGACTGAAAGGCCAAACGGCAAGAGTAAGGATGGAAGTACAATGCAAGCATATCCTGTATTGATAGGTGTTTTGGTTTTGTGTTTTGTATTTAGTATGTTTTCATTTTTTTTTTTCCTTTTTTTTTACATTTGCAAAATTATTATTAAAATCAAAACATTGTCCGATCGACCAAAGGATAGAAAATGGAAGGCATTCTCATTTCTAGATCACACATTATGAGCTCAATGTTAAAAATTTTATCAAAGGGAAATTTTCTACTTATGTGAATATCAACCGATTCTGAAATGATGCCTTTAGAATTAACTGACAACAGCCAACAATGTGATTTTACTGTCATCAAATTTTCTTGCATGGTTTCATAAATATAAAAGAAGAACTGAAATCAAATATTGCAAGGAAGTTTGACTCACCGAATAAAAAGGGGCGGCTGACACCACACTCATGGGTTCTGAACCAGAGTTGTCTGGGCACAAAGCATATAATACAGCTTGATAAAGCTGGGTCGAACCGGTTCCAACGACAATATGTCGTCCTTCAGTCACTGCATTTCCTACTTTGTTGTGCAGCTTAACAATGGCATCTGCAAACTCATTCTCCAGAAACCAGCAAATGTTTCGGATATCCGAAAAATAACTGATCAGCTGCCACCCTGGAATGACAACTGTGGTTTTGTCCCCTGTTTGTTTCCAATACTTCTCGTACATTGTCGGATCACCACTGCACAACAGAGTTGTTTGAATAATCAGTGTCAAGAAACTAATAAATAATTAATGTTATCCACACCAAGTTGATAATACTTGTGTTCTGAAATATTCAAATCCTAGTTTCCCGGGCTGTCTTAGGTAGAACCAGACAAGAGATGGTCCACCTTTTATGGAACCCATGTTAATGCTCAGTTATGGAAATCAATGGTGAAGATATTTAATTAAGTTAGCATATAATGTCATAGAATCATGTGCATAAATTCCATCTAAGACAACTACCGACTTAGCAGGCATTAAGTAGGATCTCAAGAGGTATTTCAACAGCCCTAAGTACCTTGAAAAAATTTAATACTCCCCCTGCCCAAAATTGGTCTCATAAAATTAGTCATTAGTTCAATTGAGCGGGACTTTTTTCAGGGTAAAGGGGGGTACTTTGATCATTCCCCGAATGCAAACCAACAAGCACGAGTACCATAAGTCCTCTCAAAATTCATGAAGCATATGACGGAATTCTAAGCCAGATGTCAATTTAATGCAACTTTCCTCTTTAGTCCTTAACTAAGAACTCCAAATTTTGTAACAAGCAATTATAGGTCTAAACCTCCTGAACTAACCCAGTACATCAGGACTTGTGGCAGCTGCTCATTCGTAATTTTACTGGAGGCAAGTGTTGACAAAGGGATCTTCCCTATAACTGACCCCCCCGGGTGGACAGAACCCTATATATCAAATTTCACATTTTACACTAGACTCGCATACCACTTAACCATCACAAGATTTAACCAAAGGTGGTGGTCTCTAAGCATATTTCTCCCTCTCCTTTGTAGTGGACAGCCGGAGACTAACTTAGCATCAAGTGAAGTATACTTGGCCAGAAGCAGTAAGCAGAAGTGAAAAATAAATGAAAAGTGGTCCTGACTGAGCCATACAAAGGAATAAATTGGGGAATGGGGGAGTAGGTATGGAAGCTATCACTGGTAGGTCCCAATACCATTAAGGTAACAAATGATTGAAAGGATGAATGGTTTGCATCAAGACCAAAAACTTTCATTCTTCTACAGTAATTAATGCTAATTACAAAGACCTAAAACAACATGGTCCATTCTCCATCATCCTCAGCCAAAGCCTAAAAACAAGGACCGACCATCATGTTATACGCACAACATAGTGTTGTCACAAGCAGCGCACGTGAGATCGAGTCTTAAAAGATTTAGCACTAACCATTTTAAAAGAGCATATTAGGCAAGAGCCTAATTGTGATTAGAACTACATATTAATGCCAGGAAGACCCACAAAGATTTTAGATCCTAGGATTTAACTCTGACCTTGAAATGACAAACATTAAGAAATGATACAACGTGACACGGAAATAAAATGTCTCGCCTACGTTTAATAGGTTGTAGGATCAAATTACTATGGAAAGTGGCAATTACTATTGACCGTTTGCTTAATGAAAAAACTTTCTAAGATCAAACCCCTCGGCCCATTTATCATTTCCAGAATCCAAACTTTGGTTTGTGGTATAAAGGGGATAACTAAGAAGTGCTAAAGATTTCTTTTAGGGCCCCAAAATTAGTATCCCACTTTCTCTCAAAGGAAAGAAAGGAGGGGACTTTCCATGTAGTAATTGCACAAAGCAAGAGAAATGTCCACAAACGGTGTATCTAACTCAAAGTTTCATGTAGCGAAAAAAAGGTTACTTTTATGCTTGATATGGTGACAATGGAATCAAATTTCCATCCCAAAATGTAAACATAAGGAATGATGATGCTGGGGTTAAGGTTGAGAAAACATGGCACCACCATTCGTGGTGGAAGGAATGCTTAATGTCAAAAGGATTATTAAAAAGTAACCAACCAACTTCTTTGGGAACAACACAAAGCATGAGGGATTGAAGCCCCAAAAAAAAACTGTCCAAAGTATAAAAGAATGGCAAAGCCTTCTTCTTACACTCAAACATAACATGCACCATTGAAAACCACGTTTCACTGCCATCAAAGACTTGTCTTTGTCTCTTTATCAGAAGAGAAGAACTGACATACCAAAACGTGATCCCACTGACTGACTTAACACCACTCACCGCACGCTTAGGGAAGAATCCCTCATGACAAACTATCAAGATTCAAAACAATTAAAAAAAAAAAAAAAAAAAACACACACACACACAGACATAATAAATAAATGAAGAATAATGTCAACCCCAATCTTATTAGTTTCCTTCGGGAAGATTCTTGATTCCTTGGAAGTTCATCATAAGAAAAGGGTCTATAGTCCAACCAAGAAAAGCAAAAGAAAAAGATTTCTCTTTTCTCATCCATTGGTCATTACTTTAGAAAGTGCCTAAAGTGTTTCTTTTTTATGAGTTTTGTGTTTTAATTTGGTTCCCAATACATTTTTTTTTTACATAGGCTAATTTTTATAGTCTCAACCCCAAGAAGAAGATGAAACCACATTGGAAAACGGTAAAACAACTACTATACTATGAGAAGAATGAGATAAACAAATATCAAGGTATAGAGAATTTTCCCAAAACTAAATTCATTCCCCTGTTTTGGAGCTTTTAAATGGCCCCAGTACAGAAGGAAAAGTGGGAATTGAACAGTGAGACTGAAGAAAAGACCAGAAACAGAACAGAACAGCACATTGAATCCTTGACCGACCAAACTAAAAAGGGCAAAACACAATTCAGTAAAAATTCTTTCTTTTTTCTATCTTTTCCTTAATTTCCCCACCGAAGCAACCTCATCATCATCAGCCTAACCCGCCAACAAAAAGAAATAAACAAAAAAAGGAACCAGGGAAGAACAGAACAGTGAAGATACACAACTTGAAACCCAAAATTAAAAACTGAATCAGTACCAAGATTTCCCGGGGGGGAAAAAAAAACAGCATAAAATGAAAAGGGGTTGATTTTAAATCTTATGTGAAACTGGTTAAAAAAAAAATTAATTTATAAAGGTATTTAAATGGTTGAAGAACTTACTGATCGAGATTTATTACACTTCCATCATCTTTCTGGGGCGCCATTATTGCTTGGGGAGGAGAAATTGGTATCTCTATCGATGTTGCATCATTCTTCTTCTTCTCAACATGGTTTTCCTCCCTTGAAATATCCACAGGAAGAGTTTTTTCACTCTCAGGACAGAAAAATACGTCACCGCGTTTGATATCCCCAATGAACAGAACCCTTGAAATCAAACCAACATTTAAAGCCATAGACACCACAAGAAAATGCTTTATTGACAACATATTCTGATGACCCTTCATTCTTTCCTGACCAAATTCTGCACTCCTCTTTGGTGCCACACGAATCTTTCAAGATGGGAATTTCACAAAATGAAAATGGCAAAAGACTCTCTGCTCAGAAAATAACAGAGATATCCCAATTCGAACCTACAAAGCTTTTACTTCTTCTTCTTCTTCTTTTTTTCCCCTCAATAGATTGATTCAGTTTTTACCGCAACGCTCCAGAGAAATTCTAGCCAGAACAATCTGCAAAGAAAACAAAAATTCAGAATGCTGGTGAGTTATAAGTAGTGGGCGAATGCTCTGTACCGAGTCCTGTTTCAATGACTCAGCAGTGACAAAACAGCCACGCATTCCCACAAAAAAGAATTTGAACTCTGAATGACGATTTCTATCCCAAAAAAGAAAACAAAAATCTAGACATCAAAGAAATTAACCTGAAGGGCTGAACACAGTGGAGATTCTTGATGGGATTTGGCTTTTTTTTCTTAAGGTTCAGGTAAGGAATTGTTTTTCCAAAATATAGAAAAATAATTTGTGCCCAATGGATAATTTCACTGGAAAGTCGGGTTTATAGGTGTTCTTAGCAGATGCTGCTGATTCTGATTGAGTAGATTCTCCACTTCTCCAGTAAAGAAAAAAGAAAGAAAGAAAAAATCATATGAAAAAGCTGGATTGGATTGCTTCAATTATAGTATCACAAAAAAGTGCGAGAGAAAAGGAGGAAGAATCGGAGATGGCTTCTTCTTTTTAATTTTTATTTTTTTTTCTTCGTTGCTTTTGGATTTTGCTGGCGTAGTTACTCTTTATTATCATGTAAGCAAAAAAGCTGCTCCTTTTATTCTTTCTTTCTCACTCTCACTACTTGTTTGCTCTGCTCTCCCACTTGTGTGCTGCTACTATAAATGCAGAAGTGGAAAATCTTTTGTTGTCTATTTCTAGTTTCCTACTACTATTTGACAGTTCCGAAGGAGACCTATCTTACTCGAATAAAAATTATTCTAGTCTAGTTTAATGCCTCTAATAAAAATTACTACTCTGTAATGGATTTTTTTAAAAAAGTGGTTTATCTTTGAGAGTCTCCATTCTTATTGAAATAGTATGAAATTGTTACTTGATACAATTCAATATTTTAACAAATTACTCCCTCCGTCCCATAATTATTGTCCAGTTTAGGCTTTCATTTTTAGTTCAAATTGCATTAAAAATAAAATCTCAAACTGATCAATAATTTTAGGACAGAAGGAGTATTTAATGTTTCCTTAAATTTTGTGAATCTTTCCAAAGACTCATATTAGAATGGATGGAATATTAAAAACAAACAAACGATTTGACAATTAAATGGTAAATCATTGTCCCGCTTAGCGCGAACAAGAAAAACCTAGTAGTTGATCCAAACTGGAATTTTCCCTTTGTCAATTATAAATTTGTAATTCTTGAAGGTTCATATAAACTTATATAAAATTCCACCTCAAACCCAAATTATAATGAGGAAAATAACACATGAAACTTATAAGTTATATATCGGTCGATACCTTCAATCAAAGATTTAAGCCTATGTTCAACACCCACAACAAAATCGGAACACCAATTTATGATTAACAGATACACCATAGATTCCTTCCACTCAATCAAAATGCGTTGGATATGATTTCCTTTCTCGATTGACCAAAAGGAAAACTGTACGAGACTGAATATAACTAAATGAGACTGCAGAAAATTTAGGGACTGTTTATAAAAATTAGTGTTTAATTCTTAATACTTAATGTTAAAATAGAAATACTGAATCGAATAAAGTGTTTTACTCTGAATGCTTAGTTTTAAAATTTTAATGTTTGAAAAAAAAATTTTATGAACTATTCTAGTTTGATAGAAACACCAATATAAATATAGAATTGTGTATATTTTGCCAATTTACCCTTTATGATTTTATAAAATTTCTTTATTATTGTAAAATAGTTTTTTTTTTCTAACTATACAGTAATTATGTTCATTATGCATAAAATAGAAACTATAAAATTATTATTATAAAATAACAAATTAAAATGTGCATGGCATTAATGTAATAGATGAACCAAATTATAAAGTATTAAAAATTTTTATATATTTGAAAATAAATTTTTAAAAAAACAAACACATATGTATGAAATAAAATTAAGAATTTTACGAAAACAACAAGACTTTATTTAATCAAAATGAACCATTGAAATATTTAAAGAATATTTAATTAGTGCAGTGAATAAAAAAATATTCATGGATAATGTTAGAATTTAATAATAAAGAATTAAATAAAAAATAGATGAGAGTAATTAGCAATAAACATTAAGCTAAATTTTATTGCTTAAATTTGTATTATAGTTTCAGTCGTACTTAATCAAATAAATGGACTTTTTTTTTGTTTTTAAACGTACTAACTCGAAAAATCACTTAAACCAATAATATTAGGTAATAATTCGAGTTATACACAGGCCTAGTTTGCAAGCAACACTCTAAATTACTTTAGCAATCACAAATGTATGGATCAAGACACCCCCAACTCAATACTAGAACCCCTTTTGACAAATTTTAGCCTTTTGTTTCTGTGATTGGACAACTTGCAAGTAGAATTGGGCATGAATTGTTTCTTCATTCTCAAGTTGATCTCGGCATTTGACCGGTCAAGGGAGATAATCATGTTTAGTTTGTTCAAACATCAAAAATGCGATTCGTAGTTTTCTCTAATCTCGAAAAATGTCCGAACGATTATATCGATCTAAAACATCAAATGACAGAGTATGAGGAAGTATAAAAGGAAAATTAATGGTCCAAAACCTCAACGGGATTGATTGTTTGTTTCGTAACTGATTTCTTGGCCTACCATTTTTCAACTTTCAAGTTTCAAACGCCCAACCAGAGAGACAAATAGAACATTGGAGTACAACGAAAGGGAGTATACAAACGCCCGCCCTCCTTCTATAATTAACTTCTGTTGTCCTCATATGCCAGGACGATCAAAACACTTCCAAACTTTCGTAGGATCCACAAAATCAACAACCTGGAACTCTTTAAACGGTGATTCTCTTTTAACCTTTGTAATACGTTGAAATCCCGAGTATATCATAACGTAATCATTATCTAACTTAAGGTGATATATAGCTCCGGCCGGTAATTTCTTAATTGCTGTTTTAGTTTTGTGCTTTGTCATATCAACAACTTTGTAATATGTTTATTACTCCATCCAGTCCTTATTATATGACATTTTGATTTTGTCCTAAGTTTCACATAAAATATCTTTTTAATTAGAAAAAAAACCTTAAGAATATATTTTCACTTTCGTTGTATTCTCTTAATTATTACAAAATATTTTTAAGGTTTTTATTTCCATTAAAAAAATCCTAGATGAAACTTATGACAAATCAAAATACCTTATAATAAGGACTGGAGGGAGTATTATTATCCATCTGAAAACTTCACTTATCGAAATCAAGTTTTTCAAGTATTTTTTATGCATTTGTTGTGAAAAAAGAAACCAATTAACTTGACGAGATTGTGAAGAAAAAATTTTCACCAAAGTTATTTTTCTGTTAGTCACAAAGTGAATCAGTCACGTTATCGGCAAAAGAATGAAACTGGTTATATGGAGTCAATATAACTAATAATTAATGAATGAAAGAGGGGACTAAATTAATTGTCCATCAAAAGACTGGTCACAATCCATGGCCAATAAGCCTAAAATCAACGTGGTCCAAAACTGGGAAACAACAAAAGTAGATAGACTCTTCTAGCAATATATATGTATACTTAGATGGATTAGTTCTTAAATTCTTTGCATGTGTCTGATCCATAGTCATTAAAAGGAAAGACTAGACGGGTTATAATGGTCCTTCCCTAAGCCCTATATAGTTGTCCACAACTTCATTATTATTCGTTGATGATGATTTTCTCTCTTTTTTTTTTTTTGGAATAAATTGCTGATGATTTGATCCCAATACTAGATTTGTTCTGTAGCTTTTTCAAATCGGGTAAGGATTTTTTTTTCGTTTAAGAAATGTAGTTTTTTGTTTTAAAAAAAATTGATTTAATTATTTTTTTAAAGTTAATTTGATTAGAAGTCCCAAGTTGATTACTTATGGAATAGTTGATTATTTTCTTGAGCTCTGTCCAACTATTAGCTAATAGCCCACTAAATTAGAGAACGGCATAGTTTCGGGTTAGGAGTTATAATTTGTAATTAGCAGTTAAGTATTGACAGTTACGGGAAAGGTTCTAGACACAATCATTGGGTATTAATTGTGTAATGAGGTTGTTTGACAGTTTATGGAAATATTAGTCATTTCTTGATTCTTTCTCATTTTCATCTAATTCTCTCTAAAATCTATTCTCCCTCTTAACCGGATCTTGGCTGGATCCTTCTTTCTGGGATATTCCATAACAAATTTGGTACCAGAGCCCACGATTCTCAGAAACGAAATTCGATGGTGGCAGCAACACGCTCAAGAACGGCGGAGAATTCCATGGACGATCAACTCAGGAAGCTTCAAGATACAGTGGAAGCCATGGGAATTCGACAGCAAGGTTTTGAAGAACGAATGGCGGAGGTGCAGGGCAAATGAGATCCACCACCGATTTTACCTAATCCAGAAAGGGAAGCTTTAGACGATGCTCGATCGTTATCAATTCAGCTAAGGAATGCAGCAATTGGTGGTTGCATCTAAAGATTGAACTGCCTGTGTTCGTCGGAGATAACCCTTGGGATTGGGTAAGGAAATGCGAGAAATACTTCTTAATCCATCAAATCGCGGAGGAATCTCAGATGCATGTGGTGGAAATGCATCTTGATGGCAAAGCTGATGTTTGGTTTCGCAGTTTGAAGCTGACGAAGAAAAAAATTGATTGGCCGGAGTTTGTACTGGAGGTTAACCTCCGGTTTGGAACCAAGAACCTTCAAGACGAAGTCGAAGAATTCAACAAGCTTCCACAAACAGGATCGGTCAGGGATTATCAAGAACTGTTCGTGGAGCTGAGACCCTTGATGTTATTGCATAATCCGTACATGACAAAAACATACTTGGTGTCGAGTTTCATCAGTGGCCTCAAAGAGGAATTGTAGTCTATGGTGAAATCTCTTAAACCGACGTCAATGAGCAAAGTTTTTGAAGCAGCTGTACTACAAGAAAACGTCCTGGAAAATGTGTATCACAAGAGTAAAGGATCAAATCGATCTTCGCACAATGATGGGGGTAAGGTGGCAACTCAGAATAGTCAAGGCAATTATCGAGTTGGCTAAGGGGGCAGTAAGCAGAAATGGGAAGAAAAGACTGAGTTTAAGAAGATCACACATCAGGAATATGACAGAAGAAGAGAAAACCACCTGTGTTTCAGATGTGGGGAGAAGTTCTTTCCAGGACATCAGTGTAAGAAGGGCCATGTGAATTTAATACTGGCGAATGAAGATGATGAGGAGATGTTCTTGGATGCAGAAGGGGAACAAGATGAGCATACATGCAATCCGGGAAAGACGGTTGAAGTTTCTCTACATGCACTGTCAACAGCTTTGAAACGGAAGAAAATTACACTGTCAAGTACGATTCTGGAACAAATGGTTCAAATTTTGGGAGATACGGGTAGTTGACATTCGTTTATTCATGAACGTGTAGCCTGTAAACTTGGACTTAAAATTGAAGAAACTAGGCCATTGATAGTCACTCTAGCTAATGGTGGTACTATTTTAGTAACAAAGTATGCCGGAAAGTTAAGTGGAAGATACAAGGGTATAAGTTTAACTTTGATCTTAGGGTAATGAACATTAGGGGATGGGATTTGATATTGGGTGTCAACTGGATTTATCAATACAGTCCAATTGTGTTTGATTTGAAGAAGCTGAAAATTAGTCTCACCAAAAGATCAAAGATCCTGACATTAGAGGGAATAGTTGATAGCCCTGTGATGAAGTTGAAAAGGAAAGGCAATAAAACTGTTGAAACAGTAGACCGAA